CATTTTCCTTTCAGTTCTTGGTTTGTTTGCACATTCTCCACAAGGATTAAGGAAGAAGAGGTGCAGTTGTATTTACAGAATAATCTCCTCCATGTAACAGAGGTAAAGCTTTTTCATTTTCTATTCATTTTTGAGAGAGAATTCTCCACTTGAACTGATGGAGCCTGGCAGGCCCATTGGTGTAGTCTCAAGCAGCAAGAATGTGCTGCCCTCATATGCCTAACAAAGCTCCTGGTCTGCTTCAGCAGGCAGATCAAATCTGTGTCCTCTCATGCACAACACTGCCACGTTCCCTCCCTCTGCCATAGCTCCCTCCTACACCATCTGATTTCCTTATTCTCCTCAAAAACAGGAGGGGATAGGAAGAGCTACTCTGGATACTACTATTTCTGCTTAGTCTTGGACACTGTAGCTCCTTTTAACATCAAGGAACATATTTTAAAATAAGGAGAAACAAAACATGCAAGGTCTAAAGTGAAAGACACCAATGCAGTGTTAATTCTGTACTCCCCTCCCCATGTTCATCTTCCAGATTTACAATTCCATGCCAACAGAAAGAAAATGTCAACAGTGCCATACCTGGCCAGTTTCCTCAAAACAAAAGGAAGTAACAAACTCTCTAAGAAAGGACAAGTCTTGACTTTTTTTTCTAAAGGGACCTGCCCAAAAGAGACTTTTTTCTATAGATTTTTTTTTCACTGATTTAATACATTTCCAGAATGCCTTTTTCATTGTCAAATATATCAGGAAAATTCAGTGAAATTAATGGAGTGTTCTTGGTTTGCTTTGGTATAGTAGTAAACAATTTTTAATGAAAGGCAGCTGTATGGAAACTATGGTCAGTTAATAAAGAAATCTTTCTTTATTAACATTGTACCACTCTTATACACACCAATGTCTTACTTCAGCAGCAGATCTACTGACTACAAGATGAAGTAATGCAAGAATTTAAAAAGTTTGGCATAGTATTGCTTCCTATTTAGGAGTCAATGTTCTTATTCCCACGTATCAGGTCCCTGTTCATATATTGAAATATTTTTAGTGAATCAAAAATGGAAATGTATACTTTACACCAGTTATATCCAGTTGTTCATTTTTCTTAAAAAATCAGCCCCCATTAAAAAAAAATCAGTTTCCATTATGCACTGTTTTTTTTGATAAGCAGTACTATCCCTTTCCTAGGTGAATTTTTTCATAGAAATGAAGGGGATTCAAATGTTTTATTCAGCCATTGGCAAGGGAAAGGACACAATCTTATCTAAGGAAATAGATGACAAATAGACTCTGTGTGTTTCTTGCTGCCAGCCAAAATGGAGTAACACTTAGTACTTTTGCTTTGGCCTACCTAATACTCTCGGTGCATTAAACTTCTGCTTGTTAATAAGGTTCAGTATAGAAAAAAATGTAGGTGTTCTTCTTTGTTTTGGTTTTCTGATATTGTAGTGATGAATATTTAAAAGAAGGTGACTATGAACACAACCTACAGATTATATCAATTGTTGGTACTATTAAATGTTTGGATAGATAAATTATTTTTAAGCATTGCAGCCTTTTTTCAGAAAATTAGTAGTGTAAAATGAGCTAGAATGGAATATTTTAGTTAAACACTCACTTGGGGACTAAGAGGTTACTTCAATTCTTCACTCAATTAATATATTTATAGATTGCCAAAGGGATTTACAAATTTCTTTTCAAATTAATGTTAAACCTATCCCACAACAGGAATAAGAGAGAACTTATTAAAAAAAAAAAAGCTACGAATATTCTTTTTCAGAACATGACTAGCTATTATGTGTACTGAGTGGGTGACTGTTTTGCCATGTGATCATGACTTTCCAAGTTTCTATATAATCCTGCCTTGAACAGTTTCATGTACAAGATCACAGACGCTGTTAAGTAATCAAGATAACAGACGACCTTTGCTAAGACCTGCTTCAGAAATCTAATCTTTATGCATACATGACTTGAGGATATGTGAATGATTTTCCAATCCCCCAAAATTCTACTTCCATAAACTGAGACAGAATATCCTTTCAGAATACTTCACACCTGTACTTTAGATAGCAAATGCTTCTATTCACAGAAGCAGGACTTATTTAAGCCATAATTTGCAGGGATGGCTATAACTTCACTCTGTTCTGGGCTTTGTGAGTGTTACGAGCCCTCTTTTTTTGCCTGCACAAAGACCCTATAGAGAGAGACTGAAGCAAGCAAGAGCTTTTTGCAAACAAGCTCTGTGGATTAAAATTTTAAAAATAAATTGGGACCCATGTATTGTTTTTCTCAATTTATATTCAAAATGTCTAAAGGATTATCATACCTTCCTCAACAAAAACCCTCTTTCCGGAAGTGTCACTGACACACGCTGTTGACTAAAATTTCTGCAATGTGCTTTTTACCTCACTAGTAAAGCATATCCATATCAGCCAGTTTATAAATAGTAAATAATAGCTCATGGACTGGTGTTACATTTTCAGGAGTATTTCTGTGACTTTCTCTGTTCATTTCAAAATAAGCAGTTAATCAAAAAGTCATGCAGAAACTTCAGTAAAAATGAGGCTCCAGGTGTTGAGTTGATCTCTTGGACTGTCTTTCAAAGGATTACTCTTCATCTAAGCCTTAAAAATTGTGGGCTACACCATTTGCAGTCGGGGCAAGAGGAAGTTTTCTGCCACACTGCATGTCCAGTAGAAGGTATCCTTTCATTGTATTTCATCACTGAAGTTGCCCAATATGCTGGGATCTATTTAGACTCTTTAATGGATCTGTTTGCCTTTTTTAATTCCTTTCCCCCATCTGCTTTACTTTCATGTGCCTGGGATTAGCATAAAGAATCAGACAGGCTGCAAACTTGACAAATGTGTTATGCCTTGATTTTGAACTGCTGTGACAATATGGGTTTGGAATATGTTGTTAGAGACACTGGGCTCTGTCCCGAGCTGCCCACCTGCCTATCCACCACTAGGCAGCCAGGATCTGGAGTAGATGGTACACAGCATTCCTAACTGTACGTGGGGGAGGTTCTTTTTGGTAGAACTCAGCCATTACACCGTGGAGACAGTTAGGACACACACATACATGGATGCGGCAAGACTTTCATATTCCATTTTTTACTTCTCAACAGTAACTGAAAAAATGTTAAGAAATTCTACAATAGCTTTTCCTTTTTGTGTCTTCCTCTTCCCTTCCACCCTGACTCATTTTCACAGCTTAGAAATTTTACAAATAGCTTACACACTTGCAAGGGCTGGAGGAGTAGGGAAGGTCCTGCCAAAACCATTTTGCAGCTGGAGAGGGAGGGTGAGATGGCATTTGTTTACATCCTTCTGTTGAGAAGTAAAAACATTTTCCAATCTTTGAAACTGTTGGAAGGGAGAATACATCAGGCTTTCTATAATTCAGTGTTTAAGAATTTGTTTTTCTATTTATGCACAGTATATCTGGGAACACTTGCTGGATCTTTTTAGAGAGAGGGTCAGGCACTGCAGATAAAAATGTACTACTGTCTGTGCAGACTCCACAATTATCCCTAGTCTTCCTCAATATGCATGTTCTGTGCTAACCCGGGCTGGGGGCACCACAGGAGCTCTGCTCAGCAAAGTTGGTCTCTCTCAGTCGCCTTGCAGGGGAATGCAGCCTGCCTGGCAGGAGTTGTCTGTTTGGCAGGGACACATGGGCTCCTCTCTCCTCTCTAGGGGCTGGCAGAAGGTAGGGGGGAAGGGAACCCTGCTGCCTGGCACTCAGCCTTACCTGGACATGTGCTCCCGCTGGGGTCTGTGTGCCTTCTCCAGCCCTAGTTTGGTGAAGATCCCCACCAGCACCATGACTGCTACAACCCCACAGATGATGTAGACAATAAGGTTGGTTTTATCCCGGGTAGGGTCATGCAGAGGGTCGTCTATGCGGGAAGGAGGCTTCCCAGTGTTCATCCACAACGGCGTCTCATAGTTTGTGCAGGTGCTTTGATCCAGCCTTGTCTTCTTGAACTTGCAGCAAAACCTGAAGCCACAAGTGCCACAGCAGAAGATGAACTCCCCCGAGCTGCAGTTAAAGGGGGGGTCCCACTGCCCCATCACGTCAAAGTAGCCCCTGCAGAAGTCTGGGGTGGGAGGTGGCTCGGAGGGGTCTATCTGCTCCCCGAGGCTGGAGTGGTTTCCTCCCGAGAGCACCACAAAGCTCCCCAGCTGCTGGCCAGCTTTTTCCTGAGCTCGACACACCAGCGTGAGAAGGTCCGCCACCAAGTAGCCGAAGAGCAGCCGAATAAAGCCTTCCATTCTGCCTCCCAGCCCCGGCTCAGCGATGCTGCTGCCGCCGCCGCTCGAGCTGCTGGATGCTGCGCTGCGCCAGGAGCTGAACATAAAGGGGCTCCGTCAGGAGCCGGGCGTCCGCTCAGCCCGCGCTCGCCTCCAGCACCACGGACAGCCCCGAACGGGCCGGGCAGGGTCCGCAGCCCCCGCGCAGGGTCCGCAGCCCAGCCCCGCTCCGCTCCGGAGCAGCGGGCGCGCGGCACTTGTGGAGCGGAGTGCGCGTGAGAGGGAGCGCGGGAGGAGGAGGAGGAGGAGGAGGAGGAAGAGGAGGACCGAGGGGTGGAGGTGGCGGCGGCGTGCGGGGCACCGCGCCGGGCTGGCGAGAGGGGCGTGGAGGGGCCGCCAAGCGGGAGGGTTGAGGCGAGGGCGCTGCAGGGGCGGGAGGAGGAGAGGGCGAGCGAGGATCCTCCCCGCGCAGCCTGGTGCCAGCGCGGGGCGCCGGGGCACCCACCTTCCGCTCCCCCGCGGAGCCCGGCGCGGTCTCTCGCACAACTCCCTCAGACACCCGCGGCGCCCGCCGAGCCCCGCCCGCGGCCGGGCTGCCAGGGCAGGGCGCGGGAGGCTGGACGGACCCGCCGCGGCATCCAGCCGCCGGGGAAGGGAGATGCGCCGTGGCGGGCGGGCGAGCGCGGTGCCAGCGGGGAGAGCCCAGCCCCTCCTCTGAGGCGGCCGCGGGAAGCTGCGTGCCAGAGACGGGGCTGCCCGCCCGCCTGTCCCCCCCGGCAGACCCGCTGAGGGGCCGGCGACTTCTCCCTCTCTCTCTCTCCGCCCTCCCTCTCCCTCTCTCTCTTCCTCCCTTCCAGCCCCTCTGTGAGGCTCTCCGTCCTCGCATCAGCCCCGCCGCAGAGCCGACCCCCGCCTCGCCCCCCTCACCCGCTCCTCGCCATCCCTTACATAAGAGACTTCCCGTCCCGGCGGGCGCTCCCCACAGGTGCGTCTCCAAAAGCGCGGGAACGCCTCCTGGTCCCCTGCCTCCCTCAGCCCGCCCCACGCCGAGTGGGGTAGGGGCAGCCGGCCCGGGCTGGGCTGGGCTGGGCTGGGGCAGCTCCGCGGCAGGAGAGCTCCTCTGCCGATAAGTAGAGCGCTCCTTCTCCCGGGAGCTCCTCTCCGAGCGCTCTCCGGAGACGCACTCACCTGCGAGGCACAGGCAGGTGCCGCGGGCGGAGCGGCGCCCATGGGGCCGCGCCTCAGCTAAGGCCGGGCGGGAGCAGGCGCTGCCCCGGCCCCGGCCTGCCGAGCACAGGTACAGCGGTGCTCGCGGTGCACGCTGCCGAGCGGGGCTTTGTCTGCTAAACACGAGCTGCTCCTGCACGTCATTTATTTTAAAATCTCCTTATAGTGTCAGTCAGTTGGCTCCAGAGGGCACGGTGAGGCAGCGGGTTGTTTGCGAGATACAGAATTGAAATAACTTCCCCTAAACTGTGAACTGACTCTGGGAAAGACTTTTTAGTGATTCGCTCTCCATCCCTGTTACTTAACTCTCTCATCTCTGTCGTTTGGTTCGGCGGTAACCTGTGCAAGTAGCAATAATATTATCCCGAATACTATGCTGCCACCAAATGTAGGAAATAAGCCCACTATGGCATGATTTAACAGTGTGGGCTGGTGCTGAAAGCCGCTTCCCTTTTCCTCGTGCCTTGCCGTGGCCTCGCGGGCTGCCCTTGGCTCTGGGGAAGGCTGGTGTGCTGGGGCCCGGCCATGCCAGGCTGCCCTCCCTCCCCTCTGCATCCCTGGGGCTCTTCAGGAACTTGGGCCAAGTCGTGTGGAGTTGTTACACAGTAAATAAATGGAAAGGTGAAGCAGAGGACAAAGCAGACGTTTGGAATCTGAGAGGCCTGTAGTTAGCTAATTGCAATCCTTTGCCTTCTCTTAAAAATAGACTCTAAGTACAGTGATGATTCCAGTGAACAGTTTGACAGTAAGCCTGGCATCCTTGACCAGGAGGTAGGTTAGAAAGCCCCTTTATTTCTCACCAGAGAAAAACAATCAGTCCCAGCCAAAAACCAGCCTTTCTGGGTATTAATATTTAATTCTTAAAACCTCCACCTCATCAACATCCCCTTTCAAGTCTCCTCTGAAATCATATCATTCCTCCCTTGTGTATACTTCTCTCTGCTATTATTTATTATTTAACACTTTGTGATGCAGTTTGTGCTGAAAATACTGCACAAAATGAATCTTTTCCATACTTACTATTGCACCTAGAGACATTTAAGGTCCAGTCTGTCAAGCACTTAAGATTATGCAAGTTTCCCTGTTGATTTGACAGCTAAAAAGCTGCTTAAATATTTTGCATGATTAGTGCTACACATGTGTGGAAATAACATCCAAAACCGATTTATTTTATGGGTTATTAATCCTGACTAAATATGGTACAAGTTTCTTGTTTTGCTGCATTCCTAGTGTTTTCCTTAAGAATTCCCCTACAAAAAAAAAGAAGCCCAAAGGATTTAGGCTAGAACCTGACATCTGTGGGATTCAGGTCCATGAGATCAGAACTCAACCCTAAGTGACGTGCTTGGGTGATCAAACCTTCTTGAAAAAAAACCATTTTTTATAGCACCAAGAGATTTTGGATCTGACCCATGGAACCCAGAATCCATAAATAATGCTATCCTTAATTAATTATAAGTTACTTAAGTTGTTTTGCTTTCTCTGCTGGTTAGTTGTATTAGCAGTGAAGTTATTTTAGCTGTACCATGTCGTAGAATTCTAATAGTGAACTGGAGTTGTTCTAGACTGGGGCACAAACCATTTTTACTAGACCTGTGTTAGCATGCTTTAATGGCTTCAGAGCATATATTTCTAACACCTGCATGACCAAAATATAAACCCATTAGTTACAATAATGCAAATAAAACTAGTTGAGAGAAATTAGTATTACACAGAGTACTGAGGCACATTTTGGGTCCTTGTGTGGTTTTATATAAGTTTTGCAATTAAGTCAGTCAATAAATGTCTTATTTATTTCAGTTATGCTTAACAAGTCAAGTAACATGAAAGATTTCCTGATTTCACACCATCATCTTCCACTTTCAAGACTGCAAGAATTTCAAGACTTCTCTTTTTGACATTGCTCTAAGGCAAGTAATAATTGTCTACTTTTCTACAGATTTATCCCATAAAGAATGTTTTTTGCCTCTGCAGTAACTGAGAGGATGAATGTTTCAACCTGAACCTACAGAGTTCTCTTTACTCAAGTGTATACCCATTTAAGTGGGTGGAATTCTTACTTTAGGCACCAGCTGTATAAAAATTGTTATGATTTCCCTCTAACTTCTTTGACTTGCTTTCACCAAGATGATGCGAATCAATGGTAATGCTTGTAGTTCAACTTTAACCTAGAAAATAGGCACCTTTTCCGGTAATAACATATACTCATGTCACAGGGAAGCTGCATATACACTCATACTCTGTTTGCTGAATTCTGTATGGAATTATATCTAGAACTGATTCTTGCATGTTTTTTTATGTAAATAAGAGAGTTTCAAAAAGAGTAAAATTAGGAGAGAAAGTCAGTGAGTTAACCTGAATATTGAGGTGGTGGCAAATATGAATAATATAAAACAACTAGATCATATGGAACAATTGCAATTATTATGTTCAAAATTCTGAATTTAATTTTTTTTTATAATAACAGTGTTGATGCAACCTTTGAGTAAATCCCTGGGACTGATTACCTGACAGAGAGAATAGTCTTTTGCTGAGCACTGAGTCAATGGAGCTTTCTAGCTAACCATTATTTCCCAAAAAATGCCCTATAGCTCAATAATTTCTATTAACAGACATTCCAGAGCTGTGAATACCTGTCAAAAAAAGCACCTAGACAGGCCTGATCTCCAGCAGTATTGATGTGGAAGGTATTTTGTGATAAGAAATGTCGTGTGGAAATTGGAATGAAGCAGTCAATGTCTGTTTCCTTGGTAGTCACTTCATGCTGTAGTGGGGTGTCTGGATGTAGATCCAAAATGTTTCGTGGCTAGAGAACAGAAGAAGTGATGATTCTTCTGTGCCAGATCAAGTGGCAGCAGGTTTGCAATCATTGCCTTTAAAATAACAGTTTAGTGGTGGAAGATGTCTGCTGGGTAGCGCTAGGGAAGCTTGAGACCTGGAAGAAGTGTCTTAGCAGACATGAGTTAAAGAACTCTTCCAAGAAAAAGAAGTGTATTTTATCAAGGAGGCTACAAGTGACATAATGTTTATAGATACTGAAAAAAAGTCCTATGATTCACAAATCCTGTAAATCACAGTATCACACAACACAGAAGTTTGGAGTTTTTTTAACAGCTCTACATTCTTGAATTCATGTAGATCAGACAACCCCATTTGCTTCTAACAAGTTCTGTCACTCCTCTATGAGCAGTGACCTTCCCCAGAGGTATTAGTCTTGCTGGGTGGTTAAAATGCATTTGGTTTTAGTTACACAGCACACACTTCATAAGCCTTTGCTCTTTTAACCAATGACTGCAATCATTAGTGTATCAGTACAACAATGTGTGAAATCCCAACCTGCATTATTTTGACACTAAATACACTTCTGGTTTTATAAATAGTGAGCACACATCTTCTAACTAACCTTTCCCTTTTCATAAAAAAAGATGCACATATGGACTAGGACAGAAGCAGCTTGTTCTCATAATTTCATGGATTCATAGCAATATTAATAGGAACATCTCACAAACATTGAGCACTTCTTTGTTATTGTCATAAGGTCTCAAAAAATACACTTTGCATGTAGCAAAGGGATCACCATCAAGAGATTTTAATGAGTCAAGAGGTGCTGCATGAGTGAAAAACTATGAGAGACTTGATTTTATGGCTTACTGAAGAGGAATATAATTTATTGCAATTCTATAATGTAGAAATTACCTTTATAACCTAATATTTTTCCTCTTCAGTCTTCTTGTAAAACCTAAACTGTAGTAATTACGTGGGTTGGGTTTGAGGCAGGCAGTAACAGCAACCACATTTGGAGTGGACTTCATGAAATCCCAAGAGTTCTTGTAGCTTCAGCTTAATTCAAGGAGATTAAGAAAATTCAGATAAATTTAGAAGGTAAATAGTGTACTTGCAAATAAACATACAAGAGCAAATACATGTATAGTCCAAATGTCTTCAGTATACAGCAGTAGGAAAAAAGTGCCAACAGGTCTAAAGCAGCTTCCAGCAGTGCAGCTATAAAATGAGCTGTGCCCTCGGGTTTGCCTGTTGCACAGCTACTACTCTGATCCTGAACAAGGAAAGCTGACAGCCACTTTCTCTCTTTGGTAAAACTGATGTTACTTCTGAATTGTAGCAATATTGCAAGTACCTGTGAACAAGCTACGTTTCTACTTGTTATAAATTAGACTGACATGGAATTTAGATCTGGAATGATTGACTGGGTGTCTGAGGATTACTGCAGCTGAAGAAAAGGCTCTGCAGATCATTGCAAACTTGTGCCAACAAAATCTTTATCTTGTTAACAAAAAAAAAAAAAAAAAAAATAAAAGCCACACAGGATCAAAAAAATTGGAACTGCTTTTGTATCTTTCCAACTGAAAAGCAAACCACCTTTGTTCCCATGAGTTCAAATTTTCAAGGCAGAAAGGAAGACTTTCTAAACAGGCCTAAAATAGCATTAAAAATTGTCAAGGTTAAAGTGAGTATAATAGGCTGTATACTGTGCCTGAGCATAGAGAAGCTGTGCTTAGATATAGAACAGGGCACATAGGAGAGAAAATTTTCTGATCCTTTGCTGTTTGACTCTGTTGAGGAGCTGATCCAACCAATACCTCTTCTAAAATTCCTCAGCAACTGAGATAAAGATGTAGACAAGTTTAGTCTACATTGTGCATTCTTCAGGGCTGGAACACCCATGGACAAAGAGCAGAACAATAAGTCAAATAGATGAGTCAGTTAAAGTCTGCCAGTTTCAGCACTAATAACCCTCAAGGGCTATAGAAGTGAGCTGTAAACCTCAGAAGTGAACAACTTGCTCTTCACAGAAATGTAAAGTTGCTGTATTACTTCACTAACAAAATATTTTAGCCACCATATATTTTGCATGTCTTCCAAAATGTTCTGTCAAGCAACCAAAATCAAAAATTCTTACTGAAAATTAGACCTTTTCAGTGTGCCTTCCTGATAATAAGCTTTAATGATGTCTCCTTGTATCACTGTCACAACATGCCTATCAGGAGCTTGATATATTTTGAGTCTTACATATAGTACTAATATATAGATGCAGGAACTTTCAGATTTATGAATAAGAAAATTTCTCTTGACAGTTCCATTTTTAAAGGATGCTAACTGTTAAAAAGATGTTCAGGATTTTAAAATGCTAAGTCACAAGACAGATGAAATAAGTGGTACAAAGTAATTATGGCCAGAGTTCTGTGATACCTTTTTCATTCTATGACAGAGTTATCAATGTCAGATGATGCTGTCACCAGTTTTCAGGTGGCTGTCAGATTCACTTATGTGACTCTAGGCCCGGCCAAGAGGGCCAGATGTCAAGAAGGTTAAACATCCATGGACCAACTCAGTATCTACTAAATTCAACAACTGTCTTCTCGCTAATTTTAAATGGAAACTGCACTGCACTGAGTGATTTTTCTCATGAGATGCTGAATAATCACAGCTTCCATGAAACCACCAGATGTCTGAGTGGTCAGTACATCTGAAAACCGGGTCACATATTTGAAAGCCAAATAATGAATTCAGAAACTAAATTTAGGCCCATATGTTGGAAAGCTGTTGACGTGCACAAATACACACGCAGGTTCCAGACCACACTTTTTGGCAGATGGCAGCAACTGTCCCTTCTTGACTCCACTTGACAGCCAACTGTAAAGAGCAGTGCTAAAGCTGGCTCCAAAGGGCTTTGCTTCTCTGTCCTTTAGCATGAAAGCCAGGGAGAAGAAATAACCTATCAACCAGATATACTGACAGATAGATCAAAAACCCACAAAGATTTAAAGGTGGAAGAATAAGTGCCATTTCTTATGTTTTCCTTCTAGACAGCATTCTGATAATATTAACAGTGTTCATCATTAGTATTTCTGAGCACAGTGCAATTCTGTTACACCTACATAAATGCAATATCTATCTAGAACATCTGTCTAGGTACTCTGTTATACTATCTTGAATGAAAAGGCATCAATCTAATTTCCTTGCTCTTTGCATAAAGCCAATATAAAACTGAAAATTTAATGCTTAGAGTAACCAATGTGTAGCAGAACATTTTTAATTTTTTTTGTGATTTTATAATATATTTGCCTAGAGTTTTTTTATTATTGTGAAAATGCAGTGATCCCACAGCTGGATAAATAATAGGACAAATAAAAGGATTTTAACTACATTGTGAAATGCACATCAGGGAGTCTTAAGAAGTGCTACAAAAAGATGCTGACAGAAGATTCTTGTGGTATCTTTTTGTTGTAGTGTTTATTTAAATCAGCAGATTATCTCTAACCTGCTAAATATAATCCAATGTTAATAAAATATTTAGGATATCTGTTCCCTAATACATATATTTTGGAGATTATTGCAGAGTACAATAAGGTTAAACCCAGTTTTATCACAAAATACTGGTATCTGAGAGTTCAGCTTCAGAATGGATTGCTTAATCTGTAATCAATATAGACAAGTAACACAGGAGTAAAATGTAAAGAAGCTGTAAAATGACTATTTCAGTGTAATATAGAAATAATAGATATGTATGTACTTATACATATAGTTACATATATATATACACACAGACACACATAGACACATCTATAGGGACAGTTATAACAGAATACTTGGTATGAGGACAATTCACAATTTTCTTGGGTGTGTGTGGGAATTAGTCTGCTATTCACCCCCACACACCTGACAGAAAGCTGACCTTTTTAAAGGAAATTTTGTAATTTCTATACACCTTGAACCCTTAAATAGGATTTTCCAGTTTAACAAATTCTCCCTATGAATTTAGGGATTGATCTTCTTTAAAAAGAAAAAATAACAAAATTTAAAAGGAAATTGCTCATAATTTCTATGCAAACTAGAACAGTTGACATGAGCCTTGATTATATGATTAACAAAGACATAATTTGGATGGCTGAACAATAGGTTCACTTTCCTACATAAACAATGCAAATATTTCAACACATAAAATGACCATAAGTGAAAAAGAGCTGATATCTCATAATACCCAATTATCTCACTTGTTTCTGTTGCAATGTTTAACTCAAGTTATGAAAAAAAAGAAAACACTAAAACACTTGCACAGCAAGATCATAAATAGATCCTCCATATAAAACCTCAGCCTGGGTACAGTGTTCAAATTTTTGGTCTCATTGCACAGGATGTTTTTAGTATTTTGTCTGTTGACTATCAATAAGTAATTATTGATAGCTGTTTGCAAACTCTTGACTCATTATTATTAACAGGAATACTACCATTAAATTAAATGGAGTGAAGATTTCACTCTAAGGAACATGATTTTATAAGTTTAGTCTCATTGAGATGTTCTTTATAGGATATAATATTCTATTTCTTTCAGTGGGGCAATTTTATAATGCTAATGAAAGCAAACCCAAAATTTAACATTAAAGGCTACAGAACAACAACAACAAGAAACATACAGGAAAAGTTAAAGACAAAAATACAAAGGGCACAGTCTGATGCTTATTATGTGAGAAAATGTAGAAATATTTAAGGAAATAATATTTCTACATACAACACAGCTTTAAGCTCCAGCACATCTGCTGTATGTTCCTGAAAATGTATGCAGCCAGCTCTCAGGTGTCTCTGTGCATCAATCCATGGAAGCCCAAGGGAGGCACGTTCTGCTGGCACAGGGATAAGAAGAGCTCTCTGGCACACACACTCAGGGAAGCTGCCTGCACTGCTGGGGAAACCAAGAAAAATCAGCAGTGTATTCAACAAATCTTGTTTCCACCTCCCTGCCTCCATCCATCCTAAGCATCTTCCCTGTGCTCTGTGTAAAAGGATGAGGGCTCCTTCTCACTCCTTTCATGACCTTTCTGGAGCTGGAATTTTCTGGGACAAGAGAAGAGTCATCTCTAGACCATGTACTGATGCAATTTTCTTGGCAACTGACATACAGCTATGGAATTTAATCTCGTAGGAATCTTAGCTCCTTAAGAACAAAATGTAAAATCCCTTATTTTCACCTGTTTGTTCAATAATCATAACAATGACAACAACAAAGACATCCCTCCTAGGACTCAAGGAAAAACTACAGATCCTTTACTGTGGTTACACTTAGAACTTGTAAAGGTGTTTTGATACCATGGTGATGAACACAGCATAAATGCCAAGATAGGCATTGGATCCAGCTGGCACCTCTCCCTCCTCCCCCACACATCATGGTGTTCACCACAACAAGTTTATGATTTTGTCCTAAAAATCTGTTGAGTCCTGTTGGTCTTTATGAATTCACTTGCAGAAATAAAAAAATGCTCTCTTCCCTTTGGTTCAGTCTAGACTGTATGAGAGGTGCATGATTTTTTTTTTCAGAAATGATACCCATATAATATATCATTCTCTTGAAAAAAAAAAAACAAACTCCTCTAAAACCCTAGCTGATAAATAAATATGAATACTCCTTCTTGGAAAAAAAATTATATACCTGTCTTCTCAGTCAGTGTAGGAAAGTTTTACCCAGGATGGTATTATTATATTTGTTCAGGTGAGATTTATTGTTCAAATGCTCAAACAGAAAGTCCTCTAAGTATCTTCTACCTTGTACTTCTTGTTTACATTGAATTTATTTAAGGATGAGGGGGTTAGATTTTTTTTATCTCAAAGATGAGATAAATACTTGCTAGACTAGGTTATGTAAGAACCCAGAAATATTACAATTCTCTTTTCTTGCAGGAAAAGTGTGAAAAATAATAGTAGTCTCATTGATTCACTAAATCTTTTCCAAGACATTTACTAACTCTAAGTTTTAAATAGTAAACACTGCTATTTTAAATTTACAGTTTATTCCAGTTGCACAGTACAAAGATGCCATTGTGCTTGACACTACTTTGTGTCCTTGCTGGCAGCTTCATTATAAGTCAAAGGCTGAGTGGGTATGGACAAGGTGTAAATCCTTCAGCTCCAAAGAATTCTTACAACTAAGTAGAAGAACTGTTATTGCAAGGAAAGCAGACATTTATAAACCGAGGTTTATAAATATGTTATTGAGTGTATTAAAATTAAAAATTAAACATTTTTCACTGACAAATTAATTCTGAAAGTACTTTAGCTACTGAAATATTTTATCTGTTTACATACCTGGATGCTTCCAAAATAGTTACATTTCAAAAGGTGTAGCACGAGGTACTGGGAGAATATTAGTAGATGAAATTCTGTGGATCTAAATGAGACCAGGCCTCCTTTTAGACAGGATGAATTTCACTCTTTATTTGCTTGAGTTGCAGAAATTTGATTAACCAAAGCTTATCCAGAAGCAAATTAGTGCTGAAGTGTGAAAATCAGAGCATTAAGACTACTATCATAGCCCTACGCTGGCTTTTTTTATCCGAAGAGTCCAATTAAGCAAACCTGGCAGAAACCTTAAAAGTAAATCTCTTCTGCTGGTCGCTAGTAAAGAATTGATCCCTCTTTTTTTGAGAGAAACTGTACCTGTTTGTCCAACGTGCAGCTGAAGGAGAAAAATAGAGTGTAATACCAAAACTAGACAGATTTCTCCTGGCTCTGGAGGCCAAGAGAAAAGACTGGAAATTCTAGTACCAGCCTGCTTATAATATAATTATTTCTGGTTGACAGCAAGGTAGCAGATGCTTCTTCAGGTCAGGGCTTCCCAACTTGCTCCTAAGTAAGCTTTCCATCCTTTTTCACACTAGCTGGACTTCAATTATTGTGGCACCTCAAGGGCATGAACAGCCCATGTGCAGATCTCTCAATCCTTTAAAATGCAAAGTGGGAGGGTCCCCACTACAGTTTAACAATACTGGCTTACAAAAATGAAAATAAATTTAGCCTTAAACAAACAGTTTGTTCAATCCCCAAAAACTTTGTTAGAGAAAGATTAGGGCAAATAGAAGTTACAGTTTACTATAGTATGCCTGAAAAAAAAAATGTAAGTCAGCCTGGTTTTCAGTTAGGTTTTACCTTCTCTGGAGACAAATTAGTCATGAAGGTTTTTAGAGATGCAAATGGAATATTTGCTTTCCCACCTGCCTGTTCCAGCAAGGAATGCAATGATCTCCATCTAGTAAGATTGGAAGTATAATAATCAATGCTGTTTTGCTAGAAGTTCAGCACTGGCAAATTCTCACCAGTTTAGAATTATTAATACTTTTTTCAGAAATTATCTAAGACTAAATTAGATTAAAACTGCTTGAGAACTGATAGTTTAAAAGGAACTGTCATAAATATTGTAGTGAAGTGCAGCTTGTTGATACAGTATTACTTCACATGTTCTACATCAAATAGGTATAGTAAGATCTTCACCCATTGAATCCAATTCATCACAGTTTTTTTTATATTGTATACATATTTTGTGTATATATACATTATATATATACATAGAGATACTTTTTCCCCGAAGTCAGTTGCTCTGTTCCAATTCTCTGATTTTAAAATGTTTTTCCATAGTGCTTCTCTTGGAGAATAAACTGAAGTGCAGGTTCAGATACATTATTATATTCTTCTTAGCATGCTGAGCTCTTAAGATGTTTAGAAATATTGTGTAACTGCAAAAAAGACACAGTCAATTAATTCCTTCATTTGAATAATTAAACATTTAAATACTCCCTCCATACCTTATGTTCAGCTCTAGATCTATTATTAATAGTAGCTTGTACTGTATACTGCAGGAGACTGTTAGGCACATGATTCCTAAAACCTGGGGAGGAGAACATTTCCTGGCACTATGAATTTACCTACCCAATGACAAAGTTGTCTTGTTCAAATTCAAACATGTACATGTTTCACACTGCAGTAATTACTCCATATGAATATTGTGGTTTTATTTTAATGAAAAATTCAGCATAGTTAATTATTACAAAAAATGGTTATGGTTGATGAATCCATCCAATTGCATTCAACAAAAATGCTAATCACACTTTACTATTTTTGAGCTGTTTCTGGTTTACCACTCATTCCAGCACCTTGGTCTCTCAAGTAAGTCCATGGGATAAATTCATGACCACGGGTTTGTGGCTAGACTCTGTGTTGTCAAGTGGGTGTTGTCAGGATGTCATGGCTAGAGAGGGTTTGTTACATCTCTGTGATGAGGACATCCCTACAGACACACAGCCTCAGTGTCCCTACTCAGTGGATGGGCATTGTTCCATTTGCTCACTCTCAGGGCCATTCTGGGACAGCGTGCAATGTCCATCGTGCTTTTTGAATGAGCCTGACTATGCTTCATAGCAGGAAGGTCTTAGTGCCATTGGATTTTAAAGCTAGAAATGGGTGGCACAGTTTGTTTTGCAAGGACACTGGCTTTGTTTGCCACAGAGTACGTTTGGAAGGGTTGGATGTAGCATCTTCTCACTGGTACCCTACCCTTGTACACAGCCTTCTGCAGTTCCTTTCTGTGTATTCCTGCAACCAATTGGAAAACATCAAAATTATCTTTAAGGGTTCCAAGTCATCTGCAGAAGAGGCACTTGAGTTAATTTCTATATTTTGCCTGATGTACAGGGGACATATCCTTATGCAGCATATGTAGGAAGGGATCAACAAGACCAAGCAATATTTCTGTGAATAAAAATTTACTTCTCCCTTGTTTCAAAACCAGAAGAAATTGAAAGAGTGGGGAAACTACTTTTCTAGTGTCAATTAGTCTGGATTTTTATGCTTGGACATTGGACTATATTACATTTGTAACAGAGATTTGAAAACTACTGGAGCATTAAAAATTTGAAAGAACACTCTGGGAATACAGACAATGTTTGCTGTCATTGACTGAGTTGTTACGAATAAGTACAACTGGAAGGAATCTGAAAAAAATCATTGCAAACATGGGGAAGGAGTCTGGAGCTGAAGTGAAGGATAGTACAAAACAGGCGGATTACATTTGCCTTGTAGGGCATGCAGTCTTGTCCTCATCTATTTTTAATTTTAAAAGTAGAAGCTTTGTGGTGCATGTTATGTCTTCACTCATAAATCAGCCTGTGTGTGCCTCTACCTGTGTACAAATTTTTTGTTATTTCTTTTTACCGAAGGCCTGTAAAACACCTACAGGAATCTGAGGGAAGTGGAAAATGTAATTTATTGCTGAGATAATACTGTTGAAAAATGGATCCTTCTGGTTATCTAATACAATCATTAATGGGAAAAGAAAGGTCCTTGAAATTCTGAGAAACAAAAGTTCTAGAAACAGCTGAAGGAGAGTCCACACTGAAACCTGAAGAAAATCAAGTACTATTTAATTTTCAAATCACATTTCCTACAAATTAAAATAAGGGGTTTGTAATAGCGATAATTACCTATTCAGCATCCTTCATCAGTCTCTGAACTAATTTTCTTTAGTCATTACTTGAGTGAAAAAAAAACTTAAATGGGTCATTTATGGTTTAAATTAATCTGTGCTTTTCCCGGAGTACCTCCTTTGTTCACCTCCAGCTTTAATTACTGAAAAACATTTTGTTTTATAGAAATCTGTGGCAAAATAGATGCATCCTTCATAGTCATCCTATTTCAGGGAGTACAGTGACTGCTATATTAGTGACATCACAGATGGTAAATTCAATTTTAAGATCTACTTCACATGCAAAACCTGGCACACAATATGAGTGAATACTAATGTGTAGAAGAGTTCTGTGGAGAGTTTAGCGAACATAAATCATTCTCCAAAGCAGCAAAGATTCTCTGAACCACTGATGCAATTTATTAGGCTGTATTTTGAGGGGAGAGTAGTGGCAGAGTGGGAAGGCCAATCAACAAGAGGATTTATTTGCCTGATTGATGTACAACTACCTTTTCCACTTAAAAAAACCTAAGTGGAACCTTGTCCACTTAGAGGACATTTCTGTGGTGTCAAACTCCTCTCTGTAGCAGAAGCTGCATCTTTGAAAGTGGTATGACAATGGGTTCTCTTTCAGAGTTTTTTGTAGTCACACTTTTCTTCTCAGAGTCATCTGATGTCATTGTCTCTTTATATATAGTTTGTTATAACCTGTCAGATGATGATGTACATGTGTTTTTGAGAAATAGATTTGGTTAAAATTTAGGTGAACAAAAAAAAATGCCGATTTTCTGAAAGAGAATGAAATCTCTTTATAGAAGGAAAGAAAAAGGAGGTATCAGTTTTTTCAAAACACCCAAATTGCTTTTATTTTACCTGTAATATAAAAATGAGGTTTTCCAGTCTGAAAAAAAAAATGCTTTTAGCAAGGAAACAAAGAGATTAATTTGCAACACATTTTGGATTAACCAATGTAACAGGAAAAGACCAATGCCCTTGCTCTATGCCTAGTTGAAAAATATCAAAGTGCTCTGATTGTTTATTGAATATTTGAAAGATTGTTGCTTTTTTTTTTTTTTTTTTTTCAGAAATAGCAACTGTGGTTAATGATCACCAGAGGTTTTATTGTTTTTTATAATAATATGTCATTTATCAGCAAAGAAGGAGAAAGGACTCTCAAGAGTCATGCATACAGACACGTAAACTAAATACTAATTTTTCTTCTAGTTTTCTGTTTTTGCTCATACATGAATGGAAAATCTATTTGTTTAAAATAAGAAAAGTCCAACAAGTCTAAATTTGAGACCAAGTTTTGAAATAAAAGGTTTTAAACTTAGATTTTCTGCTTAAGTCATATACCTGAAACCTACAGTTCTCTAAAAACATCCAGACATGTATGTGGATATATATAATAGTTTCTTCAAATCTATTTATATTCCTAATTCCCTTCCATTTGTGACTGGACAGGATGAGCAGCAGGAATCATAAACTTTAGATAGTGGGCAAATACTGCCCAAATCTGATGGCAAAAATTCTGGAGAGCAGTTAAGCTAGAAAGTTCTTATAGTTCAAGATAAGTCAATCACAAATATTCAACATCATTATGGAAATGGACGCTTCAATTAAAACCTTGATTTTTTTTCACTCAGCTCAAGCCCTGCTGGACTCCTATGCAATTTTTCTGTGTCTAGCAGTTTCAATACAAACTCATGACCCAAATATCCATGACTTTTCCAGAGTAGACACTGAATGTGTCGAAGATATGCACCAGATCAAATAATTCCTCCTAGTCTGGCTCTCTCATTCCCTGGAGTCTTTACTAGTCAGGACTTTCAAATTTGCTGGTAGCCCAAGCTCTCAGTCACTCAGTGAAAGGTGTGAGTTCTCAGTCTACCTGAAAATGAGATCTAAGGACATGGAATTCTAAAGTCAGAGGCACCCTGAATAAAGTAGAACTCTTGAATATTTGGGAGCACAGTAAATTAGCAAGACATCTTAAAAAATGAGCAATAGCTCTAGATAGAACCTGTATCTGTGTCAGAAATTGGAATTCAGTGTGCAAAACAAATTGAGTTAAATAGTGTGTTTAACTCATTACATCAACTTTTATATCTCTCATAGTTACAGTGATTCTAGGAATATATTACAGGTTTCTTGAACAAATGGAGCCTGCCCACACTAAATGAGTCAGATAAAAATCAATTACATAGTGGATTTTTAGCTGTGGAAATAATCAATGTCATCATTGTTCCCTTCCTAGCAACAAAATATTGGTCCTGGTGAACCAATCCCTTTAAGCTGGTTTGTGCAAAGCATTTTTAATATTTTTTATATTATTTTATGGGCCATGTGAAAATGGAAGGCCATTTGTTATCAAGGCCAAATATTAACAGAGCCTTTTTTTTAACATTGCTAGCACTCTTCAGTGCAGTAATTCATTTTTAGTGAATTATTACATTAATTTTTGTTTGTACTGCATATCAGACCTTATGTTTTATCGTATTCAGTAATGTTTTAGGCCCAGATTACTGAATTTACTAATAAGGGCATAGCCATCCTGGAATCTCAGCAATGGAGCAGGACATAGAAGTGTAAGAGATATTACTGTAAGTTTTCAGAAGTTCCTGATTTTTATCCATTAGCTGTTCTTGGGAACGAGAGGAGCTATATCCTATGCCAAACCTTCCAAAATATTGCATCTGCTATGAATGCTGTCCTGTTCAAGGACTTACAGAGAGAAGAGATTCTTAAAAAACAGACAATACATTGTATGCGCTATTTATTTTTAGCATGAGTAAATCCAAATTCTTTCTAAACAAATACAATTATGTGTGATCCATTTTCTATCATGAGGTTTATCAATTTCTAACTTATTTTCTCCAACTTATCCCTCAAAGACTCATATATATCAGCAAGCACTGAAAACAGATGTTGGTATTGCTGTGTGTATTGTTTACACCTCCACTTTCATTGGATTCCCTGAATTCCAGATGGCACATAGTCATTCTATTCTATATATAAGATTAAAATGGTTTAGTTTCAAATCTGCATATCCGTCTGTGCATTGTAATTTTAATGCCAATGTTTAGACCAACCTTGTTACATCCTTTTCACCTTTTGTACTCTTCAAGTTTTGTTCTTTGTCATCCTGTCATTTGCTGAGATTAGAAAAAAAGATTCCCATTCTTTAACCACTGCTTTGACTATTTTGCTCTTTATTTGAATTTCTCAATGGAGATAGTAAATCTTAGAATTGTTTACTTGTTTTATTTGTACTTTATCTAGGGCTCTCAAGATGCATACAGTATAACTTTAAACGGCAGTAAAAAATACGGTCGAATGTCTGTTACTGGATCTTTCAGAACTTCCAAGAACTGTAAGTCTTGGCAGCATGATTTAAAGCACACTTGAGTAAGTCTTACGAGATCTGGACTCCACAGATCTGCACTATTCTATTCACAGTCCTTACTAATCTAAATCTTATATAAGAATTTCATTTTCAATGCTTGCATTTCCCACTTTTAATCTCTTATTTTCAATATACTGCATGCCCTCCCAGAATGGTACATTTCCCTCTATATGTTCACACTAACTTTATAAAATTAGTAAAACTCTCAATTTATACTCTATAAATAAGAGGAGACACGTGCTACTGTAAATTATTTATTCAGTGCCATTATATTCATGACACTTTGTATAACAAATCAAGTCCTATGACAAAATTCTGATGCTTTATCTAGGCCCCATCTGGAATGAGTCCATGAAAATCTATAATTAAACCAACATAGATCAGTAGTAACTTTGAACGACTTAGTCATAGTAAAATGAGTTTAGCTGCATAACATTTGGTCCATGAGCCTGGCTTCAAAAATGCATACTTCAAATTTGGCAGAGTAAAGGAAGCAGGAGAGAGCTGAAATCCCCCTCCTGCATACACAGTCCTGATTCTCAGTTCTCACGTTTATACACAAATGTTCCTTTATTTCTGCAGATGAAAACACTGCACTCAGGCTCTAAAGCACAAGAAAATGTGTTTAAATTACAAAATTAAAATTTCTCATGGCTTCCTCGTTACCGCAAGTAATCCTCTAGGTGATATAAGATCAAAGGTTTTCATGTGAAGAGGAGGCAACATAGGCAGGCTGCACACTCACTGTCCTGAGCATCCTGAGGCTCATCCATGATCCATCCTGCAAAGACAACAGAATACAAGTACTGACAACAGAATTTTGTAGAGGAGAGCATGCTAGGAAAAAAGAGCTGTGAAATTACAGACTTAGATAAATCTAGAAGATCTTACAATCCCCATCTCTGCCAGGTCTGATTCAATCTTTCAGACATGCATAACTTGACAAGAAACATGGCTGCCTTTAGCAATACATCCAGGTTAAGTACAACAAAGGTAATTCAGGTGCTGACCACAATTTCATGTCCTTGTGCTCCAGAGCCACACTATGCTGCTTTGCCAAAACAATCTACATTTTTTGGCCTGTTCTTGCTGTTATTTCACTTGCAAAATTAATCCTGATTTTAGCTGAAGTCATGCAGCAGTCATATATTCTGGTTTATAGCTGCTCAGCCCTATCAAGCAAATGAGAAGAAAATGGAAAAGAATTAGAAAAGGTAAAAAAAATTATTTGCATGACTGAGCCAACTGCTCTGATATGAGCAGTTCTACCATGAGACTGTGATCACCCCTTCCTATGATGGTGTTGGGATATTTAAATAGGCTACACCTAAGACTTAAAAATGCACTTTAGTTTTTATTTGCTTAATATACCACATGCTGCCTCATAAAGAGCCAAATTGACAAAAACTACTTAATAAAAAAGACTTCCCCTAGCGCTTTCCATCTAATGATCTTTAAGCAGTTTACAAGTAGGACTGAAGAAGCTGTTTTTACTTGTGGTTAATAATACCCACATTTTACAGATGGAAAAGCCATCTAGCCATAGGAATGCATTTTAGTTGACAGCATTAACCTCACCTAACACGTTGCTGCAGATTTCACACGATGAATAGAAGCACTCAGAACTCTGCATGCTGCACCACGCAGAATAATGGGATCTCAGCTGTTCAACTGGGAAACTGCAACTGTATTGCTGCTCCTGGATGGCTGGGTCAAAAAGGAATTCTAGGTCAGAAGAGATGAAGAAAACATTGCCTGGTAAGGGTCACCCATACATTTCAGTCATCACCTCACTGTGTAGCTTGGTTCTGACGGGAACATGAACTGTGTGGGCCCTGGTCCGTGCCGCCACAGTGCCCACAGCCGTGGCAGGGCAGGGCAGGCTGCGCTCGGGGCACTGGCAGCAGGGAGACACCGGGCCTTTGCTTTTTCTGTGTAACTTCTCTTTTCTTTTTCAGAGAGTTGCTGGTGATACCTAAATTCGGGAGCACGTTTAAACACTGAGGAAACCTGGCAAGAACAACACATGAAGGAGCAAAGGAAGGCTGGCAATGCTTTTAGACAAGGAGTTACCTCGGTTCGCAGGTGAGGAACACGCTGAATATGACGTAATCTATGACTTTATTATAATTTATTTAAAAGCCAGCGCATCTCCGGGGCAGGTTCCATCCTAAGCCGCCCCCCACACATGGCGGCGCCTGGAGCCGCCCCGCAGCACTCCCCGTTTCCAGGGCTATCCCAAGGCTCGCCCCAGAGCCACTCGGCCACCGCTTCTCGCCGCTCCACTCACACCAGACCCCGCAGCCTGCAGCGCGGCCGCAGCGCCCGGGCCCGGCAGCATCCCGGGGCCGCCCGCCCGCGCCAGGCACCGCCCCCGGCGGAGGCGGTGCCGCCCCCTCGGCGGCCGGGCCCGGCGGTGGCGGCGGCCGTGCGGGCCGGGGCGATGGCGGCGGCGGGGAGCGTGTTCCTGAGAGCCCGCGGCAGGACTCTGACCGCCTTCCGCCCAGGTACGGGGAGCGCCGGCCGAGCCGCGCCATCGCCTGCGGCTCTTCCCCGCCGCGCTGCCGGGCGGGAGGGGCGTGCGGAGGGAGGCCTCGGGCTTCCCCGGCGGCGGGAGGAGCTGCCGCCCGGAGAGGGAGGCGTGGAGCGCCGGGGCCTGGGCTGCGTGCCGGCGGGCCCCTGCCGGGGAGCGGGGGACGCGGGGGGCGCCGGGCAGCTGTGGCCGCCCCGCTGCCCCCGCTGTGCCGGGGCGCGCCCCGAGCCGCCCAAGTTTCTCCCCACGCTTTGGCTCCTGTGAAGACGCCAGCAGTGTCCAGCTCCGGATTCGTTTAAAACACTTGTGCTGCTGAACCGGGTCTCGATAGCCTGTGAAGCTGTTGGTGGTCCTGTGTTTGTACCTGTAGGGGCGACCTAACAGGTTACCGCTGGGTCACTCTTGGCGCTCAAACCAAATGCGGCCGTAGGGTGGTTCACAGCTGGGTAAGGTGCTGCTTTCCCCGGCGTGCTCAGCCTCGCTCCGGTCAGCAGCACAGGTGCTCCCCTGGCCCTTCCCCGCTGTGCAGGAGCAGCGCTGCGAGCCCTGGGCTGCAGCCAGCCAAGGCAGACGTGCTTCCACACCCACCAGGTGGAGAAGGAGAGAGGCCGAGCCAAAGGTGGCAGCCGCCGGTGACTGCTGGTTCTTGCTTGCAACTGGACACAGAGGCGCACATTTAACTCGTTGAACATCTGAGTGTATGCACGTGTTTGTAAAATTTGCCCAAGGATAGAGGTTCTACAGTGTGCTGGGGTTTTTCAGGGACACAGCTGTGTTAAGAAATCATTTTCTATGGTCTTGTGTAGAAGGTATTCTATTTCTCTGTATTTATGAATTTTAAATTGTATTGGTTTGGTGAGGTCAGCAAAACTATTTCATCCCATCAATTTTGTGGTCTTTTCTTGGGTTGCACTGGAAATATTTGGCTTTGCTTGTTGCCAAATAAAGAAAAATCACCAACTCAGAGCATGTGAAGTATATGTATACAGCCATTCTGGCAACCTATTAATTGCAGATGGTCTGGTTGGTTTGGAACAGAATGCCTAGCATTTGCTGAGGGGACAGATGGCAGACAAGCCATCTAGTTAAATCAACTATATAGTGAAATTTTGACACAAGGAGTGTTCAACAGCAGTGTAAAAGTTTCTGAATAAAAGTTGTATCTAACTCCTTGAAAATTTCCTTAAACATGGAAGAAAACTTCATTTGGGAATATCTTCCCAGGTATGCTTCTTTCTCCTGAAGCATCCTTGTTTGGAGTTCTTTAAATATTAGTTAAGATTTTTCTTAACAGTTGGTTGCTTTTAACCTTGTTCAGGATTTGTTAGGCTATCATAGTCCAGCTACCATCTTTGGGTGCAGTATTGTTGTAAATAATTTACTTGGGTCTTTCTTAAGAGGTAAAAGTTCAACACAATATTTTAATGACTAAATTATTAGGAAAAAGGAGAACCAAGGGCTGTTAAAACTGAGGCAAATTTTAATGCAGTTTTAAGACAAAAATTAGTTATCTCCGTTTTGTTGCTTTTCTCAGTCTTAAGGTTTCACTTCTGTTAAACATATATCCACATTTACTGCCACTGCTGTGGCTTTGTTTCCTTTTAAAATTTGAAAGCCACTATTGAGAGCTAAATTTCCTTCCTTCTTCTTACCCTTTCTATAAAGTTCCTCTTCCCTACTGGTAAATTGTTCAGTCTGTTTTTACATAACGTGGAGGTTATACCTGTAACCTGCTCTCATCTGCCCTTCATGTGGGACATGTGCATGAGGAGCTTGAGGTGAGGGATTGAAATTCCACATAATCAATGAGGCACAGTAGTAAACAGTGTATAAATGCCCTACCTGATGGGCAATAGACCTTTGTATGGTTTGGCTTTACTTTGTAAAATAAATTATCTTTTTCCTGCCTGTGTGAAATTTTGCTTCAGCTGTCTACTCCTTCTATTAGTATTTAAGTGAAGAAACAGGACCATATGTTTGGGCAAGTGCTGTCTTCACCACTTCTCTCCAGAAGTCAGGGAGTTTTTTGTTTTGTATTTTTGGTGGGTTTTTTTTTTCCCCTGAGTATGTCAGTAGCATACTGTGCAAAGAATTCATGTGAAAGTGGTGGAACACTTTTTTCAAGTAACTAAACAAGTGTAGTTCTGTCAGTTTAACTGGTTGAGAAGTGTCTGTTTGAACCTGTCTTTTGCTAGTTTTAGTTGATGGTTCCAAAACCTTTATGTGGAACAGGCAAATAACCAGTATTGCATCCTCACAGTCTCGGTTCCACACGTGATTTTCTGTTCCTTTGTCATGCCTCCCCCACCAATCTTTTACATACTCTCAAAGTTTATTCAATTACTTCTCATATTTTCATTTTGCTCTGTTCTCTATTCCTTTCCAGTCTCGGATTTTTTGCTATTTTTGAATGTTGAGGTGACTTCTTAGTAGCACTTGGTAAAAATCTTATGAAGTTGGTGGTGTTTTCCCCATGTGCACTATGCTTCACTTTTTTGCACAAAGTTCATCCTTTTTTGAACACTCACTGCATAGGAAGTCTCTCCTCAGCTCTTCAGAACCAGGCCTGATTCTCATGCTGCCAAATGGCTTAATTTTAGCAAATTCCACGTCCTCACTGTTCGGTTGCTGTGACAGATTTTTTTTGAGTTTGTTGAACAGTATATAGGTCCCAGTACAGATCCAGGTGGCATCTGGGTGGCTTGTCCATTTTTGTTTTTCTTACCATTTTTCTGTGCATGCAAGGACTTCATTTCATATTTCCAGACAGCTTGGCTTTGGTGAATAGCTGTTAGATGTCTAGTGGAGATGGGATCAAATGGATCTCCCTTGTCCCTGTAAAAGCTGTTGATTACTCCTTCTGAAGAATCGCTAAATACAGGAGTTGTTTACTTGTTTAGTGTTTCACTTGTCTGTACAGATGCCACTTTTGTAGTCGTTGTTACCAGATGGCTCAGGAAACCCCTTTAAATGTAGATGTAATGGTGACCACCTCCCTGTTCCTGGTGCAAGGGCAGGTTTAAGGATAACTTCCCAGCAGTTCACTGATTTTCACTTTTGAGGAATTCTATGGATGCCACCTAATCTGAGTGGTTTGTTAGTGCCTGTATCTATTTGTTGAATCATCTACTGATACTTCGATTTGAGACAGATGTGCTGTCAGGAGGAATTATTGCATTAGAGCTTCACAAGTTCCGTCATGATGCATGTGGATACAAAAATGTACCTTGTTTTTCTTATTTTCAGCCTTTCTTTTTGTGTGCATCTTGCATGTCTGGAACATCTGTTAACATTAGTGACTGTCTGGCAGACTACCTGCTCCTAATTCCTGTACAAAGTGCTTTATTAATTCTCAGTTTTATGCTGTTTCTAGTTCTTCACTTTTTTTACCCTGACTTCTAGGACTTCAGTATCAAAACTTTCAGTGTATAAAATCTTTCCTGTTTTTTTTTTTATTTGAAGGCTTTAGCTTTTCAAAGGATGCTGACCTGCTCTTACTAGCCTCCTTATTGCTGTTACTTAAGTAGTTTAGACACTGGATTCTTTTTGGTCTTCCTGAAGTCCTTATTAAATGCTGTGCGTATGGTCTGAGCCTCTGGGATAGTGTCTTTGAGTAGTTTCCATGCTGCCTTCAAGGATTTTTGCACTTTTTAAAAGTATAATTATATATAATTCGCCTTCCTTTGAAATTAAATACAACCGCAGTTGATTTCTTGCTTTCAGAAGAGTGTTAGATCTTGGCACATTATGATTACTGTTCTAGAGCTCTTCAACAGTAATATTTTTGAGCACTGATCAGAACTGCTTCCCAGCTTGCATATTCCATTCCCAGTACTGTCTCCATCTCTCATATGGATTAGGGAAATTTTTATGTGGGTTTTGAGAAACTTTCTGTGACTTCACCTTGTCATTATGCAAACCACCCCCCTTCACACCTACAGTTCTGGGCTGTAAAGTTTTTGTAATGAGTTTACATGTTAAATTTGGGGGTGGGCATAAGGCATGAATTTAGCTTCTGTAGCCCTCAGTACAAATAAACTGTGTCTGAGGGGGCATTTCTTACCTTCATAGTTATCTAAGAAGTTTAAAAGTATGTCTTTTGACAACAGTAGCACTGTCTCATTTATTTGAAAAACCACATTCTATCATTTAGTGTTTCTACTGACAGTATTTTTGTAGTACAAAGTTTCTAAATAATTACTCTTTAAAAGTTTTGGTTTTTTCTCTCTCTCTGAAAATGTATTTTAATACCTATTTTGAAGGGGTTTTTTCCCCTGGTACTTAAAATGGCATAGTTAATGACAGTTTGCCTTGGTCATTCAACAGAATCTTCAGTAGTCATATCTTTTGGTGGACTTCCAGGTACACATGGAAAAAAAACAGCTGAAAGACTTGCATATTTCTTTAGACTGAAATCTTTTGTATTTAGGCATACAAAAATAATGAATTTTCTAATCCACATCTATTGATAATATAAAATATATATTTTATATTTTTATATGTTAAAATATATAACAAGAAATTGTTAAAAATGTAGCACAATTCCTTTATTGGTTTTCAAGCTATTTCAGGACTGAGAGTGATGGAGACAAATTGTTGCTGTTTGTGTTGTCTATGATGTGTACATACTGACTTCATTTAAGAGAGTCCATTTTCCTTCCTGCATAGACCTTCTTTGGAAAACCAATGTTGTGCTTCCTTTTCAGTTTTACTCAGAAAAAGAATCACAGGCACACTTTGTAGGCAGAGACAACTCAGGGCAGGGAACCATGTCCGTGTCTGCTGTGCTCTGATTTTCAGAGAAGTGGTATTGATTCTCCTGTCAAACCCAATGTGACAATGAGGGCATTTTCGTATTCATACTGCCCGTGATGGACTGAGCAGGCACTGGAGATGTGTCCACATCCAAACTGCTCTGGTACAGTAGTTTCCAAAGAGAGATTATGGACAGGAGTAACTTTCCATAACTGATTTGTTTCCATTAAGTTCTGCAGAGTGGAGAGGAGGAAGAACACCAATGTATTGTTGAACCCAACCAAAGTACTTATAAAAAATCCCACCAGGGAAATACTGGAAATCCCACCAGGATCCACAATCCTATGTGCCTGGCAGAGGCCAATAGTTTTTGTGAGCAATCTCAATAGATGTGTTGGTGATCCTTGGAGATGGGGCAAGAAAAGAGAGGTGAAACTAGGAAAAGCAAAAGGGGAAGAAATGAAGGCACAGCAAGAGATTAGCTATTGTCCTTTAGAAGTTGGGAGATTCAGCTGAAATCCCACTTAAGTCCTTGAAGTATCTTTTTGCCTGTGATCATAATACATGGCTGAGGTTTTCTCTGGTGAGTTACTGCTGACTTCTTCGGTCCTTCATAGAATTAATCCTTAGATAAAATTAGAAGCTGGCACTGTTTTTCAGCCAGTGCTACTAAAAATACATTGCATTGATCCTCTGTCTGTGCTTTGGCATTCATGGGAGCAGAAAAAGAGAAGGAAACTATTGAAACTGAGGCATAACAACATGTTCAGAAGTTGGACTTCTTCAGTGGCAATCAGCTGTGCTTTTAAGGAGATCTGGAACCAAAACTGCTTTGAAATAGGAGTTTTCTGTTGCTTGGTGTGTAAGAGCAGGCCCACAGACATCATTTGTCCTTCAGAAATGGAAACCATATGTGCATCAGTTATCAGAGAAGTCTCAACTTTGTTCTGCATTTGTGTTTTCTTATTGTTATGGTAAATTTTGAGAGTCACAAACACCTTCAGCATCTGTAGGGATGAAGAACCAATTTTCAGGCATTCTCAGCTTCATTCAATTGTGTGATGGAAAGCAGAGGACAGAAAAAAATATTAATTGAATCCTAATCTTCTGTTGCTTTACCTAGCATGCACTTCATCTAATACAATGAAATAGCTCATCTAAAGGCTTGAAAATTCAAACTGCTAGTGAGAAGAATGCTTTTACTGTTATTCCCACAGAAGTCATTTGCTACATATGAAGGGATGATAGCCATTGCACACGTTATTTAACTGAAACCTTTGGAAGCATCAGCTGGGACCTGGATCGTGACTAGAGGATTGTTGCAGAAGCAGCTGTTGGCCCTCCTACCACTTGTGCCCAGTGGTGTTTGTTAGTTCCCCTCTGCCAGGCTTGGGCAGACCCCCAGCATGGGAGCAGAAGGATCTCCCTGAGCACTGTTCTTGAGATCCAATGCAAAGACCAGAGAAAGGTTTCAAACAGGGCCTTGCGGGGCCTGACTTACAGGGCAGACAAGATTTATTTGCTTGCTCATAGTACCTGTTCTGTGGGTAGCTGAATCAAGAAATGCACAAGCAGATGGTGAGGGAGAAAAGAAGGGTACAGAATAATATCTGAACAGGGTCCATTACCATGTCATTGTAAGGCAGAAGACTTCTGGGTCCATCTGTGGTAGTGGAAGATGCTTTTTCCAGCTGTTTCTTGTTGCCACCCTCTTACCATATTGGTTTGTTGGAAGAGCACTCATGCAGACCAGAATTAGTGAAATAGCACTAGTAGCAACACTTGCAACTTTAGCTGACTAGTGTCACAGCTTGCAAAGAAGAGGAAAAACTTGCAAAAAGAACTCTGAAGACAGACCAGTGAGGACACTCAAGAGTTACTTCCTGGGTTAACTGAATTCAAAACAGGCTTGAGATTGGTGCCAGGTGCAAGTTCACACCAGTGGTGTACTTATGCAACTCTAATCATGATACTCTGTTTTTATATTTATAGTACTTTGCAGTAATTAAAGCACATTCCTGATTTTAAGGAAAAAGTTAAGTTGTAAGTTTAAACAGTATCCTTACTTTATTTTGTTCCCATATACTTTTTTTTCATGGGAAAAAAAGCAGTGAGTAACAATTGATAAATAATAAGCCAATGGAATTTGGTTTGAGTACTAAGGTTATTTGTTTTTAATGTTTCTGATTGGAGTGATCAAATAAAAAGACAAAGGTAGAAAATACTTATTCAGCCTTACTGGCTTTTTTGTAACTATCTGATGAGTTATTGAATACCACAGAAATAGCTATTGACTGAATTATTTGACTAAGACCAGTTAATTAAACTAACATTTTAAGTAAATGTTATCCTTGTAGCCCTGATTCCTGGCTCTCTTCTGATATCCCTGCTTCACTTTCTTCATTTTATCTTTTTCTTTCCTACAGGAGAATATAGCACATACCTTTGCATCATTTTCAGTTCCTTTCTTTTTTCACCTCCTATCTCCTTCCTTTTCTCCCCACTCTTCACCACCTCCACCCCTGCATCTTCTGTTTCTCCTTTCTTCTGCCATTTCTTGATTCTGTCTGTGTACTGAACTTCTCTTTTGAAATTCATCTTATCAGTCTCTCTCTTTGCCTCACATGACCATCACTCACCCACTCAAACCAGAGCATCTGTGCACAGTCTTAGAAATAGTCAGGTACTTAAAACCTAGAGAGTTACTGTATTGGCATGAATATAGGTCAGGAAAATAAAATAACCTTGAAACATATATTAGAAATAACCCCTAGTCTGGCTTTCCCAACTGCTCCCTGAGAGTGCATTGCCTGCCAGACCTGTGTGTACTGAAGTGTCCTACCTGAAGTTCCTGGGACCTGGGCCAGCCCTGCTGCCTGTGCCACCCAGCCCGGACTGCTCCAGGTGCTGCAGCTGCCTGTGCCCACCATGCACCATTGCTGAGGCTCTGAAAGGATAACACAGTCTGTCCATACTTGAAACACAGTGTTTAACAACAAATGCTAGCTCTTTTTCTAAGTAGTCTCTGTAAAAATAAATAAATGTAACTATATTTTACTTAGGCTACTATGGTAAAAATACTGGCTTCAGATTAAACAATACAAAACAAGTAGATTTTGCTCAGCATTGATTTATCAGTACTGTCTATCAGGTTGCTGGAAAAGGGAAAGGTATTAGTAGGCCTGCTATTTAGTTCAAAGGTTAGATCTTTTTCCCCATTTAATGAATAAATTGTGTCACTCCTCCAAACCAAGTTCCTGTTCCAGACATTCCTTTTATTCACTTTCATTTTGTAGAGGTCGCAAAGGGCTTCTGATGCAAGCTTCCTTAACTGATTTTTTCTACTATAACTTTCTGCCTATAAAAACTGTAACCTGATTTCTCTGCACAAACAGTGCCTTTACTGCATCATGTAAGCTGCTTTTATGGCAATTTTATTTTTTATGCAAGTTATAAAATAAAAACCTAAATTATTTTTGGCATTCAAGTGGTTCCATAAGGCTTATACTGCAAACTCATGGATTGATAGATCATTTCACTTCTCTGAACAGTTGTGTAACTTGAAGAGTAAATTTTATTTCAGAATTAAAAGCCAATGAGTGGCTAGAAGTTTCTGTCTATAAAATACATGATTATTATTTAGATTAAGTCAGTGCTGGTATATAAATAATTTTGTTTAGAAATGAAATGTTAGTTTAAGTAAAGTACAGAGGCTTTCATTTGGGAAAACGATCTGATGCCATAGCAACAGATGACAATTCCAAGCAGCTTCCGGGAGTTGCCTACATTCCTCATCCCTCACTCCAGCCTATCCATATCCATGGTGCCAGAAATGAATTCTGAACTCTGTTTTCTAACCTTGCTTGGAAGAAACACACTCCCCTTCTTGCAGAGTGTGAAGCTTCAGTTCTAGAGCTTGTGGAAGGAAATCAAAAGTACATCAATGTGTTGAACATGCTTCTTCTCTTCTGTTAATAGAAGACCAGTTTTGCATCAAAATGGATTTCAGATCAGACGGACATTATATGAGAGTATATTAAATGATTATATTTCAATTTTAAATAATTTGTATATTTTCTTTTTAGATTCAACTGTAGATGGATGTAGTTTGTGAGTTTTTAACAGTTTAAATGCTGTTTAAAATCCTCCAATAACAGTAAATGTATTAAGCCAAATAGAGCTGTCAAAACTAAAATATTCAGATTGCAAATGAATGCATATAGACAGCTGGAGAAAACACAGTGTACTTGTGTTTGTACTTCCAGCTTGAGATATAAGTGTAGGAAACAGACTACCCATTTTTGTTTTAAATTTGTAGTCAACTATTGTTTTATTTGCCCAGTGTTGAGATTTTTGTCTTGCAAATAGGCTTGTAGTCATATATGTCACCCTTTCTTTGTTGTATTTGGTATTACAATACCGGAAAAAGAATTATAAAAAATTTGTACCAGTACAGATTCTGTCCTACCCTCTGCCTACGCTGACTCTATCAATGGAAATTTGTTTCTGAGTTCTCACGTTTTTGTCATAGGTCTTGGGAGCAATTGTGGCAGCAGTAAATTTGGATTTTCATTGTTGCTGATGATTCTGATGTTGCTGGGTTTGGTGTTTGCTGACCTTGGTCCTGTTGAGTGGTTTCAGTCCTGGCTCCAGAGAATGTGCTGCATCCAACTTTTCTCTAAAACTATGAGAACAAAAAGCATCTAACTCCTTAATAATTTAAGAAAAAGTCTACTGGAACCATAAAATGTGAAACCTCTGTATGTTTTAACTTGTTAATTAAAGAAGCAATAATTGGAATCCTAAAAGAGTCAGCTGAAATCTAATGTTACACACTTGTGCTGTGTTGTAGTCTTGTAATTTCCAGCACTATTTGCTGAATTCTTCACATACTTCTCCTCTAATCAGTCTGTAATTACTATGTGGTATAATTAGATTAATATACTTTTTTTCTACAGCTATATGTTAGAGGAAAATTTTGTACTTCTGCCTTTATATTTGTCGTGTATGAATGAGTACAGAATTCTGTATATGCATTAAAGCAGTGTCAGCCTACTGAAGAACAATCAATGATGTATGGAAACTCTCATTCTCTATTAAGTGTCTCTACTGGGTTGGTTTTTTTTCCTTATTTTTCTTCTTAGATGCTGAGTACCAATGGAAGGGACCCTTCTACTTCATCCAAGGAGCAGATCCTCAGTTTGGACTGATGAAAGCTTGGACACATGGAGACACTAATAATGGAGATGATGAATGGGGAGAAGAAATTAAATTAGCAGAGCAAGCAGTGCAGGCCATTAACAAACTAAAGCCTAAACCCAAGTTCTTTGTGCTGTGTGGAGACCTTGTCCATGGAATGCCAGGTAAGGCAATTAAAAGTGCAGAATGGAGGTAGTCACTCCATTTTTTTATATTTCTGATTGGCAATAAGGCTAATTTACTTAACTTCAAAAGAGCCTTTCATAAGTATCATTAGTATTAGTTCCTGTTTTGGTATTTTGGGGAAAAAAAAACCCTGTGATTTGTAGATGATTCTTGAGATATTCTGCTTTTTTCATCTGACTTAGTGTAGCATTCATCTTAAGGCTGTACATTCATTAATTAATTACTTGCTTTGAGATGACAAGGAGGGGCTCTAGCCACTGGGGAAAACTAATGCCAAGAAAATAACAAAAACTATATATGGCTTTTTGAGTAGCTAAAGTGAGTAAGGCTCAGAGAATTATCTAGATTTCTAGTGCTTAATATAGTCAAATATTTAAGTTAAGTTTTTAAATGTTAGAGGTCAATGAGTTCAAGCTCTAGCAACTCTCTCCTGTGGCTGTGAGACTCTGAGCTCAGTGTGTTTCTTTGTACACTGAGAGGAAGAACAACAAACCATCCAGAACGGTGAGTTACAAGAAAGATAAGTACTTTTTGTGGAAGTGAAATTAGAAGTGGTGTTACCTGCTAAGAAGTGGTCTGGAAAGCAGATCTAAGCACCGTGTCCCACATTTGTTAGCCCTGATAAGCAGCAGAGATGCAGACAGCCCTGGCTCTGTCACTGGCAGCACCACAGTCCACCCAGGGATCCTGCAAACATCCTGTGCCTTGTGCTCCACTCTGCTTCACACGCCACCTGCACCTCAGGAGCTGCTTCCCAGCCCTTGCTCACACAGCAGGGCTTCAAGCACGTTGGAGACCTTTCACTGATTCCTTCACTGTCCCACAATGTTAATTTTAAGACTTTAGCTGTCAAATTGATTGACAGTATTTGTAGGCTTTCTTTTGATCAGAACACAGTTTTGCTGAAAGAGTGGGAAAGTGTAAAAAACAACAGATTTAAGCTTTAAGATTGAATCTACTGCGTAACACCTCAGTAGCTTGATCATAAAGTATGCCATGATGCAGTTTTATTGGCTTACATGCGTCCATAAATTTTGGAATCGTCTTCCTATAGCACAGTTTTAATAAATGTTTCAATTAGGACTTCTAATTTGTGTAGGTGTTCCACATATTTTGGTGTCAGTATCCCTTGTAAGAGAAAGAAAAGTCAGGATCAATGATAAGTGTTATACATCCTTTTGAAAGTGATCTTTCACTCTAAAAATTTAAATAATTCAGGAGGCTAAGTTAGTTTCTGTTTACCTGGATATTTCTCAAATACTCTTAAAACAGTGCAAAGTTCTGAGTCCTTTTGTCTCTTTTGACTTCAAACAACATTATGTTAAGGCTTCTCTGTTGGTAGAGTTTAAGTGTGAACTAGAGAGCCAGCAATCTTCTGACTTCCACTGGGGACTGAATGGCTGATACAATAAGTCTTGTGTGTGGTACTTCTGGTATTTGGTTGGGTTTTTTTTTTTTCTAGCAGTGGTTCTCTGTGTCATTATTGTCCCTTTTGCCAGTGTATGTCTCAGACTTGGTAACGTTTTAAATACAAACCTGTCAGGGCTTTGCAAAACATTAGCATTATTCATTTTGTTAACAGACATGTGAAAGAAACTGAGTGGTTTGTACTGGTGAGATCACCTACATTGTGTGATGGGTGTGCTGTGCCTTGTATAAATATTTGAAGCTGCCTCGTGCAATTTCCAAGAAATTGCAAGAAAGAGCAGCTCATTACTCAGTAAACTTAAGGGTATTTTCCAGGCTAAATGATTCAGTGATTCTATGATTGCCTCACTTGAGCCACCATATTTTAACTTCTCTAATAATTTCTTGGTGATTGAAATTATGTTAATAGTTTTCAAGCCTGTGTTATCTTGTAGTTATAGAAAGTGGTTAAGGAAATGCACTATTAAAAGGAATTGTAGAATATTCAGCTGGAACAATTACTTCATTATTGCCTTTGTGTTTATACAAATGGCTTGCTCTGCTGTGTGTTGATAAACATAAAGTACAATTTAACCATTAAGTTCTACATAAAAGTACAATTTTACAGCCCTTTGTCTTTCTGTCTAAACTGATGACAGAGATAAACAGTGATTTGCTCTATGGTGCAGAGACCTGTGGATTAGCAGTTTTGGACTAGTTGCCTAAAAGGACAGGGAGATCATACAGCTTTTTAATCAACTCCTGTCAGTAAAAAGCGAGTGCGCAATGCAGATCTTCCTCTCTTCCCTTAAAACATTTTATCATGGAGTACTGAGGGTAGAGTTTTTGAGGGACTGTTTTAAAGCAGGCACTATAGCCATTTAGCTGAACCAGTGTTGAAGCCTTTTGCAGAGGAACTCCAAGAAATCTCAGAATTCCAGCAGCTAGAAGTGATGAACAGAATCCTGATCAGCTGGGAAGCAATCAGGCACAGCACTTGGAATCCATTACAGATGTCATTAGAGCAACGAAGTAATCATATCTTGGTATTTAGCTGCTGATTAAAAGTAGTTTGTACTCTGAATATTATTTCCAGAAGTTTTTCTTGATTACATAATCAGAATAGGATATCTATTCTTGGTAACACTAATATTGTGGTACAGTCACATGAAGAATTTTAAGTGATACCTTATAGTGCAACTATCTCACTGAATATAATTTCTGTGAACTCCATGCTTACACTTGGATATACCATGACAATGAAGGATTTCCTTCTGAAGGCATTTGTGTGCATTGAGTATAATATCATTTAGTATGACAAAAATGGTAATCTGTAAAATAATGTTGATCAGATTATGTGTTTATTTGCATTTTTCTAAATATCTAGAAATTGATTTCTAAAAATGTTACTGTTCTCCTATGAAGTTGGACCTTCCTGTTTGGTTTTATGAAAACTTCTCATATTGTTCCGTTACCAATACATCCGGAGCCCAACAGTCCAGTTCCAGTCCAGCAGCCAATTCCTCACCCATCTTGTTCTCTACTCATCCAGACTGCAACATCCCAGCTCCACAGCCCTTTGATGATTATAGAGCAGTGCCTCGCACTGACATCAGCCAGCACTCTCAGTACTCTTGGATTCATCCCATCAGTCCCATGGGATGGCCTGGGTTGAAACTTACAGGAGATGCTGGTTCCATCCTGGTGTTTCTTGTGCTCCTCAGCTCAGGGAGAACGTTTCAGTGCAGGGAGGCAAAGGAAGCTCTGAGTACCTGCTGCTTGTCACTGCCTCACACAGCAGTGGGCTCTATTTTCTTTATTATTTTATGGCTAAAGTAGCAGTTGAAGCTTTTGCTGCCTTCTGCTAGTTGCAGCCCTCAGGGTGCTTCTCCTGACAGCAGCGCTGCATACCCAGGTACTTTTTCAGTATTCTTTCTTTCAAGTATGTCTTTGGTTCCAACTCCCTTTTATGTCCTTTTCTCATTGGTTCTTAGGCATGAGTTCCTCATTTAACCAGATCATTCTCCTTATAGCCTACATTTTTCTCTCTCCCTCTGCCTTCCTTGCGTATCCAGAAGGACCATTCTTGTGCTCAAAGGATCTTGTCTTTGAGCACTTGTCAACCCTCTCAAACTATTGCTTTCAGAGCAGCCTCACACAGAATCCCGTAGCTGATCCCTAAATAAGCCAGTGTGCTGTCATAAGGCCCCAGATGTGCTCTGTGCCTTTCCTGTTCCTCTCGGGACCTTGAACTCCACCTTGGAGGCTGCTACAGCCAAGGCTGCCAGGATTAACACATCCCCCAGCACTCCAATGTTCGTGAGTAGCAGGACCAGGAGAGTGGGCCCTGGTTGCCCTGTCTGTGTCCAGGGATTGTCCCAGACTGCCTGCTGGGTCTGTGTCCAGGGATTGTCCCAGACTGCCTGCTGGGTCTGTGTCCAGGGATTTCCCAGACTGCCTGCTGGGTCTGTGTCCAGGGATTGTCCCGGACTGCCTCCTGGGTCTGTGTCCAGGGATTGTCCCAAACTGCCTCCTGGGTTCCAGATCTCCTGGATTGCTGTCAGCAGGTGTCAGGGATGTTCGTATCCCATAAGACCCAGGGCAATGCAGAGACTTTTTCAAGTTGCTCATAGGAGACTTAATCCATTAATTTGCCCTTTTTGGGTGGTCTGTAGCAAAATCTCACCTTTAGTGGCTGAGCTCTTCCCCAGTCCTGACTCAAGTTCAACGAGGCTGGTGTCTGTTCCACAAATAGTGCCCTTCAAACTTGGGGCAAACTCCCCAGCTTCTTTCTTGCTTGTCCTCCCTGTTCCAGTTTAGGATGACCCTTGTGCTTCCTTCTCCATCTCATACCTCGAGTGTAGACTGGTGTCCAGGAAACAGCATCAGCATTTCAACATCTTTTGTTACAGCAGCAGAGAATTCAGCTGCTGTCAGCCAAGGTCACCCTGCTGAAGCCACTGACAAGCACTGACTGTGAAGCCGAGAATCCAGCAACCATTTTTAAGTGGCTGAATTCCTTCAGAGAAAATTATTTAACTGCATTTTTTTAATGATGCTACTGCTATCAGTGACTTGATAGTTCTCACTAGGAAAGTTATTTATGTGATGTATTTAGTCCAGGTGTTTAATTTTTTTTCATTAATTGTTCTGCCTACATGGGTAAAAGAAGATAGCAAGTCTCTTTCAAACTTACTTAGCTCTGACTGTAATAAAATGTAACTGCTTAGAGACTAAATGAAATGAGACTTGTCTAATAATGTGTATAATCACAAAAAACCTGATAGAACTTGATTAAGCTTGATCTGTTAGCAGTGTGATAATGGATCAGTGAGCAAATAATGTTTATGCTTGCAGTTTTAAATTCATTTGTGTGTATATGTTAATTACAAGAAATCAAAATCACTGGAATTTCCTATTACAGCACTTGAAATACACTGTGAACACTTGTACTAATTATTTTAGTTAATGTGAAGGTATAATAATCTCTAATACACACATTCCCTACCCAGGTCGTGCAGTGCTCTATAATCTCACATCAGTGTTTTCTGTCAATTAAGCCCAAGTAGTG